TAGGGTGGGCCAATTAGGATGGGCCTGAGACAGAACTAAGGGAGCACAAAACCACAGAGAAAATGCTGCATTTTTTAAATTACTCCATAATATTCTTAGGCTGGTTCTGGTGGAATAAGGTATATATCCAGGCTTCTTGGCAGTGGTGAGAATGTAAAAAAAATGGGCAAAAGTACTTTTCTCTCATGTCACTACCATGGGGGGAAACAGTTGCAGTTACCATGTTTCATGATGTGTTCTCATCTTTATACTCAGGATCTCAAGTGTTTGTGGAATTCAAAGGCTGGTATTTCTCAAAAAGTAAGAATGCTTCCCACCTGGCTGGTTTAACCGGTGTTAAAGTCACCGTTTTCCAGCTACTCAGTCCATGAGGAGAAGCACGTCATCTGCATGGACTGATTTCAGTTCCTGATTCCAGAAATGCCAACTAGAGGGAAGCTCTTTCTTTACCAACCACCATTTCGTAGTCTAGAGAAAGGTAGCTCAGAAAGCATCTGCTGGGTGTGTAAAGCACAAGGAAGACAGTTCATGGGACTGAGCTCTGTGTCAGCCTCAAGCTGGCCGGCTCCCACCCAGCAAGAGTGGTTCACCTGGAGAAGGAATCCAGGCCAGACTGGGAAAGCCCTCACATTTACTAAGATAAAGTTTAGATGCAGTGAGATGGGGGTTTTAACATGCAGCTTTCGTGCTAATGAATGCCCTGTCTGCCCTCGACACATCAAGGTGCTTCCTTTTTAATGCATACGCTCCAGGGAATTAAATTGCTTCGGTAGGGGTAACACAACTAGTGTTCCTAGTCTGACCCACCCAAGGGTATACTTCTGACATCAGAAGGACTCTACAACCCTGTCACACTACCTTTCTGTCACCAAGTTTCCCATTCCTGGAAACCTGAGCTAAGATGAAGCGAGGCCAGAAGACCAAATTGTAAGTTGTTCCCGCGGCCAGCCAGCCCGCAGCTCTGCCTGTGACGGACCCCATGGCCCTGGATGCCTGAACAACACTGGGGAAGAAGAGCTCAAAACTGTCAAGGGACAACCACTTCCTGTCCCCATCCTGACCCATCTAAAAAAAAAAAAATCAAGCCAGAACAGGCCTTTGGCTCGAATATTTTAGAAAGTGGAAAGGATGGCTCCTCCCACAAGTCCCAGGCAAGACAGAGTGAAGCCTGTGGCCGAGACCCAAGGTGAGTTCCCACACACAAACGGTTCCTAGTCACTGGGAAGTCACAACGGCACCAAATTCTGAGCTTTTGCTAGAATGCCATTTCCTGTGCCAGGACCAGGCAGGGCAGTCCCCTTCCTCGTGTAGCCTTATGTCATTAGGGAATCTAGCAAATCATATGAAGCACTCATACAATAGAAATCTCATATGAAACTATCAGTAAGGGTATACTGGCATGATGTCAGTTTCCAAAGACAACTGCAGTTACTGTACCTGTCTACAGTATACAAAAAGTGTGACCATGTCCCTCAACCCTTACCAAGACCAGAAATTTATGTTTGATTCATGACAACACTGAGGTCTGTTTATTTTTTCAACGTAGCCCAATAATGGACTTCCTCCCTACTGACTGGATGTCATGAAGTCTCATTCAAGAAGTAAAGCAACCTAATCTATTAAATTCAGGGTCTGACAAGCATCCAAGCACAGCACTGCCTCCTTCCAAATACTGCAGAGCTTGTAAGACACCCGCACCCTCACTTGTGTAAACTCCTGCGTCTTGCAGTGACTGCCAGTAGGTGGCAGCTGTGACAGGCTTGTCAGGGTAGGGTCAGTAGAGCCCCGCAGAGGATCTCACAGAACGAGCACGGGCAGCTGAGAAGACAGTTCTGGAGAATGTGCTTTTCAGAAATGCTGCATCACCCGCGCTCACCAAGGCTCAGAGGACAACACTGTTTGGGAAAACATGGACAAGGGCAATTCTAGGCCGAAGTGTGCTTCAGAACATCAGAATCACAAGTTTTAGGAATGTTCACATTTTCCTTTTTGTACAAATTTTGTATGAATTATGGGTAATATGATGAAAATCTGTCCAAAGTCTAAAAGAGCTCTTTCAGTAAATATAAGAAGTCAAAATAAGCACATTTTTTCTAGTTGGTACTTTTTTCTTCTTAATGGTTCACAAAATGAAGGTGTATCTTACAACTGGCTAGTGTTTGAGATTCTGTGAAATGCAGTGCTCTCTTCACGAAGCTGGTGCTGGGGCGGAGCCTGGGGGCTGATCTTTAGGTCACTCCACTGGTCACCCAGCAGTCAGGGAGCCTCTGCTTTGAGCTACTTGCTCAAATCTCAGAACTTCTCAGCACAGGTCTTCAGGCCAATTTAGGTAATGAAAGAAAATCAGTCCCATTAACTTAAATTTTTCTAAAGGACGAATTTTGGCAACTTTTAAAAAAATTCAAACGCTAAAGAAGTAAACCACTTGCATCATTTGAATTTCACTTCTGATTCCTTTTATACAGCTGTAATCAGCAAGCTCACCTGGTTCCTGCCGTCCTCCCACTGGCCGCCTCCGTTGCTGGTCACCCACCACACTTCAGGTTCAGTGGCTCTGCGGTGCCCCATACAGCTGCTCAAGTCTCCCTGACCACTCCCCACTTTCAGACAATTATGTTATCACCACTGGGACTGATTTTATTTGTTCTTACTGCTGGAAAGACGAGTTTTTATAGCATATGTTACACTGATTCAAGACTTACACAGACTAATTTAGTGATACCAATAATGTAAAGGTGTACCTATGCCCCTAAATTCTAGGTGACAATGGAATTTTTCCTAGTTAAAATAATCCCATTTTTCAAACAAACAAAAAGAAAAAAAACAGCATTTCTCCGTCCCATCATCTACTGATCTACTGACGGGGAGCAGTAGGGCTCTGGGCCAATGCGGACGCACACTCTGCCTGTGCCAAACAACTGACCGCCGGGCCGCTTCCCCAGCACCACCCAGGCCTCCACCAGCGAACCACGGTCCAGGCAGGACCTCTGCATTTTAGTGGCACAGCAAACTTGACACCTGGTTACAAACACCCCAAAGTAAACAGGTTAAGAATTTCTGTTCAGTTCACATGTTTCCCTTGGTGTCCGTTATATTAGGAAACTCCTGTGGGTGCGGTCAGATACCATGACTCCAAACTGTAGCCCACACAGCACAAACCCACTTGGTCCCCCAAAACCAGCCCTGTAAGCTTCGTGGTTTCCACATTTGCCTCTTCACATGTGCTACCTTATAAAGGAAGTCTGTTAAATTAACACTTACTCAAGATTACTACTTTTCCTTAACACCTAAAAAAGGGCTACTGTATTCCCACAGATTCTATTTTTAGTACTCACAGGAACAGTCGACAGACGAGAGGCTTTAAGTCATCTTATTCTCCCCTGCTCCCATTTTTAGGAATGAATCAAATAATATCTAAATTTTAAAGGCCCAGCGAGTGTTCTCAATTTGTTTTAACCTTTGGGGCAAATATAGAGAGGAAAACAATCCTTGAGATAATAACACTGAGGAAAACGCTTACCTCCGCATTTTGTAGGCAGAGAAAACAGTCAACTGCTTGGACCCATCCCCTTTCCGGGCTTATTCCTACCAGAAGCCAGACCGTCTCAGTGTGAGCCAGGAAGGGCAAGCTAGGGCTGGTCCCAAAGCTGTGGCTCCACCCCAGGCCACCTCCCCTTCCCCAGAGGTACCTGCTTCCACCCTGGCTCTCGGATGCTAATGGCACTTCTAGGACAGCTTCTGAGAGAAGCACGGTCAACACCCGACAAGCACAGGACCAGAAGCAGGCTGAGCGCACCATCCCTCCTGTTGCGAGGACTGTGCCAGCCTCACAGCTCAGCCCCAAGTCAGCTCATCTCCTGAGACACAGGACAGAGTCAAGGCCAGCAAGGCCTCAATTTGGACAGGTGGAGAACACAGAAGAAAAAGACCCTGAGCTCATTTCCAATCCTGGCTTTTCTTGAACTAGCTGAGTTCAGGCCAGACACTTACACTCTGGGCCCACCTTCCCATTTATAAAATGAGCTAAAACCAGCCCATCCTGCTCTCGGGTCACCTATAACTAATTCTCATGTGCCTCACTTGTGACTCAACATCCCAACTTTGGCTTCTGGATCTGAACTGAGTTGGCTGTGTATAATATAGTTTCTACCTCTCTGTGCTGAAAGTTTTAATGAGACCCAGGCAAACCTGGGCACTGTGCAGCCCCAGGCAGAGAACCCACTCAGAGGCAGGCGGCTGATAGGTAATCTTTAGCTAGATGGGCAAACAGTATGTAGTGCTTTCATGCCAGGTAGCAAATGCTCTACCTGAGCAAGTATAAAGAAACGTCTTGAACCAAATAATCCAAACAGCTGAAAACAGGCCAAAGGAGTCAGCCAGCTTCCTCATGAGGTCTATATATATATATAAAACATATATATAGGGGGGGGGTTCTCTTCCTAAAGGAACTGATAATAAGCCTAGCAGCACGCTGCACTTCCGTGGACCTGGCCTGTGCTCTCCCAGACCCAAAGCAGTGGTGATGTCCAGTGAACAACACGTGGGCCTCTGGGGCCTGGGCCCCTCCCCTCCATCATCTGACTGAACAATCGACAGAACCATCTGGATGAGACGACCCCAGGGGTGTTCAGCTGGAAAGGAACTGAGAAACCACTGGGGAGCCAGGGACAAGGACTCAGGTCCAGAACTCATCTCTGCTTTAACCACAGTAGCTCTGCTCATCATGTGTTAGATTTGGGGTTTCTGCATAAACAAAGAAGTCTACTGAATGCTTAAGCTTTTGATCTAATCCAACCCTTCCAATGACTGGGAAAGAAGCGGGAGTTGGTGCCCATCAGGAAGAGGCTTGACGTTTTCAGCTGCTCGGCCGGCACACAGCGCACACCACAGCAACATCTCTCAGTGAGCCCGCTTCCTGGAAAATCTCCAGGAACAACTAATAGAAGATATTTCTACCCACATATTAACAGACAGAAAAAAATTTTTAAATGTATCCTACTTGAGGTTTTTTATTCACTTAGGAATTGGATTCACTTCTCATTTATTTATGGTTTTAAAACTATACACTATACTGCTATGCTCTTTGTTATAAGCAATGTCCAGAATCTGATACACTCATAGACTCCATTTACACATTTCTCAAGTCCAGTCACCTTATGCTTTGCTACCGGACATCTGGCACATTCTCTCACTTGCCAACATCAACCTAAGGGAGAAAAGTCCCAACCCAAGTAACCTCTAACTATAACCTCTAACCCCAGAACACCAACATGTGCCACGAAAGGCAGCACAGCTGATGGACCCATTCCTGGATCTATCCTGGTTATCCTGCGACCTAGCAAACTGCCCCCTCAAAGTCCCAGTCTTTCCTCCCAGGTTTGCATGAGGGGTCGGAGCCACTCGCCAGCTGCTCCTGGAGTCACAGCAAGGAGGAGAAGCCAGCACCGAGAGTTAGCTCAGCGGCGCACCGGACAGCGGCAGGGCTATGGCCCACCCGCACGTCCCTCGTCAGAGCAGCAGTGGCAGCCGAACTCGGCTTTGTAACTTCAGTTCTTCTCTCACAGGATGGCAGGAACACAGTAACACAACCTTGATACTTTTTTGTGTGAAATTTATTTTTTCCACATTAAAAGATTTTTTTTGAGGGGAAGTATTTTCTTCTTCTTCTTTTTTTAACCACATGATGATCCTATACAGCTGCCCAGAGTAGGACACCATCGTAAGTCATTAACATGCCATATGAGTTCTGAATAAATAAAAGCTACAAAGCCCAAGTTATATACAAATATCTTAGGCAATGTTTACAAATCTATGTACAATAAAACAAATGTAAACAGTAAACGCAGCATGAGAGCAATCAAAGGACACACAGGGACAGCCACCCAGTCTGCCCCCCGGAGCCGCACCAGCCAGCCCCTGGAATCAGGGCACTCACTCCTCCCTTCCTACACTAGAGAGGCCCTCAGAAGACAAAACAAAAAAGCTGTGAAGCCGTCACTTAACTGAAGGGCCAGAAACGCCACCACCTCCACCCCTGGCCTGAGGAAGCCGGAGGAGAAGACAGCACAGAGGCCCCGCCCCCCGGCCCCCAGGCCCCGGAGGCCCCTGCTCTGGGAGGCAGGTCTACGGGATGACGACTGCTGAAGTCAAATCAAAAGGTGCAGCAAATGTTCCCTAACTCCAGGACCTTCCTGACTCAGCCAGCAACAGGCCCAAACTGTGTGGGGCGGAGCTGGGGGACACGTGATCGTGAGCACTGAAGACGCTGGGGCAGGAGCTCGGGAGGGCGCACGTTGACCTGATTTGGGAGAGAACTTCTAGAAGATTTGCAATGTCCTAAATACGACTAAACCCTATCGGCACTGCAGGGTGGAGGCTGAGGCAGGTGTGATGAACGGGTACTTCTGTATCCGGAGACCAAGTAATACACGTATGTATCACTGTGTGACCCACAAAGTGCAATCGTGTGAAACCAACGGCACTACGGCGAGAGGAGAAAATAGCCAGTATTGATATCGCGCAGAGTCCTGGGGCTGGGCAGGGCCGGCAGCCGCCACTGCATGCAGCCCGCCCTCTGCCGGCCCTGGGAGGCAGACAGAGGGGCGCGGGCCGGGCCCAGGCGCTGAAGGGTGAGGCGTGGGTGTCCCGGGTTGATGGAGGAGGGCCGGAGTCCCCACCTGCAGGCTGGGCACTCACACGCTGAGAGGCAGCATACCCGGTGCCGACGAGGGGCGTGAGGAGCCCAGACCAGGAGGAGGAGGAGCCGGGTCAAAGCCGTTTACTGCCCTGTGGGGGTGACCAGAGCAGAGAAGGGAAGGGGGAAGAGAGACACTGTCATTTAAAAATCACTTGACACACGGCAAGAAATTCATTTGCTCTCTAAAACTGTTTCTCTTCCGGGCCCGCAGAAGAATCCTGAGGGCCCAAGGGAAGAGCGGCTGCCTAGGAAGCACCAGTGGGTCCGAGACTTGAGCACTCAGTGGTTGTCCTCAGTGAGGAGACCATGGGTGGTGCAACCCTGACTTTCCCCACAGAACAGTTCTAAATGCCTGCCAACAGGGAACCAGCCAAATCAATAACTACATGACGAAATAGTATACAACCATTAAAAACATTCCAGAGTTCTTCAATGGCATGGAAAAATATTCAGAATGTAATTAATGGTAGAAGAAGGTTACCAAACGGTATGTGTTCAATGATGTGAAGGAAAAAAATGTACGTAGCATATATTCCAAATTCCTGACTAGAGGTGGGCAGTGCTATCTATGTAGCTAAGTCTAGAACGTGTGCGGATCCTCACACACACACACACATACACACACATATGTACATAAAATCATATATACTGTAGAAGGAAAATTTAACAACAGTTACCTTTCCTCCCTCTGAGATTGGGGGTAAATTTTGTTTACTACTTTATACTTTTTTTATTGTTTTTCAAATCTCCTACAATATACATGAATATCTTAATGAAGGGGGAAAAGTACCTTTTTTATGTTGTTAAGCAAGCAAAGCCGGATGATAGGCTCCTCTGGTGACTGGTGAGTAGCCAGCCCAAGGAGGACCCAGCCCCCCAGCCCCATGAGGCAGAGCGCCCCAGCCCCAGCCGCCTGGCAGCGCAGCCATGGAAGCAGGGAGGGAGGGAGAGCGAGGCCTGGACCCTCTCTCAGGAAGCAGCTCCTGCCTTCCCATCCTGAAAAACTTCCTAGGAAATGCTGTCCCACCAGCAGTTGGGGCAGCGCAGCCAACTGCAAAGGGCCACACTGCACTATACCTGCTCGCCACTGTGCCCCCAGCCACTCCTGAGAGGGGTCTAGAGAGTTGAATACAGACTCATGGAGACAGTGCCTCTTACCAAAAATGTACACATTTTCCCCACAAAGGCGAACTGTTCTGTACACTGAGAGGCGAGTGTAATCTCACAGAGAAAAAGGCACGCAAGGAGTCTGAGTACTCTGAAGAAACTAACCTCAGAAGATGGACTTCGATGTCTGAAACAAGCCTCCCACACAAAGGCCCAGAGCAACAGGAGGGACTCTGACAGGTAACTTCTCCCTGCCGTACACTGTCCTACCTCAGTGACGCACAGCCAGGGTCTCCCCTTTTCTTTACGGTGTTGGGGAGGTCAGATAGTTGAGCCTCATTGCATTTGAAAACTTTAAATCATCCCTCCCTACACTCCCAAGGCTTATGTCTGTGCCTTCTCTGGCTCCTCATGCAGGTTAGGACAGACAGCCAGCATTTTCAAGTTACACGGACCTTCAGGGAACATGAAGTTCATCCCCACTGTTGTATTGCTAAGAAAACCAAAGCAGGAGAAGGTCCAACCATTTCCCTGAGTTCACCTGTGAGCCCACCAATGGGGAAGCAGGGCTCATGACCTGCCTCCAGACCATTATCCCTTCCCAGGATCCTCCGGGCCAGAGGACCTCTGACAGCCCTCAGTGAGCAACCACTTTGGTGCTCCTGGTGCAGGTCAGCTCCAATGGAAAAAAGCAGCAGTGTGATCCAGAACACAAAGGGGAAACAAGAAACCAGGAAAGCCCTTTCTCTATGTGAGTGCAAACGGGAGTTCTGGTTTACAGGTTGGGTAGAATAGAGAGATAATAACAAACTGCTAGGTCTCACCCAGCACTTCTTTCCTGAGTCAAGAAATGGGAAGTAAGAGACTCAAGGGAGGAGAAAGCTGACCCCAGAGGTAGGACTGTCAGTCTGGTGATGTACCTTCAGGGAACTGCCAAGTTGCCAAATGGGAGAGAAAAAAACACCTCCACACTCACCAGACAGCAACAGAGCGACAGGAGACATCCCAGTGGACCACACAGGAACAAATGGAAAGAGAACAGGCATGGGAGATAAAGATCTGGGAATCATCTATGCAAAAAAGGTTAGAGATGCTATGAAATTCCATGGTCTTATCACTTAAATCTAGTTAAAGTGTCTGAAAAATAGAGAATCCAGCTGAGAAAAGAAACTAAGGTCAGCTGGAAAATGACAACAAAAGAAGTAAAAAGAGAGAAAGAACCAAGGCACATGTGGTAGCTAGTCAGGACAACAAATCAAACACAACAGAGATAAAGTACGGACACAGAATCCATCAAAGCAGCGGGGTCGAGCACAGCCGAGAAGGCAGTAGAGCTAAACATGAGTGGGCTGGAGCCGACTCCGGAGAGCAGGCAGACCACTCCACACCCCAGGCTCCCTAGTTAGATGAGCAAATGGAACACAGCACGCTCCAGCCAGCGGCAGTGCCCGTCCCAGGCTCTACAAACTGAAGTGTACCTTCCTGAAAACTGAAAAGGAAGGCATCTACATTCCAATGTACTCTGGGAAACAAGAGTGACTGCAGAGGGCAGAGACCCCACACAGCAAGGCTCCACAACCATTAGTTCCTGCTCTGAAATAACAAGACACACCGAGTAACAGGAAGAGCCCCAGTCCCACGAGGACAGTCAACTGTGGTCCCAGGGCCTGCCAGTGAGCCTGACCCCCAGCGTCACCACCACAGCACCTGACCACACACCAAGAGTGCTGTCGGGCCTGCTGCGCACAAGTGCCCCAGAACCACCATGACTGACATGTGTTTGTTTTGAGTAGCTGAACCAATAGTAACTGTATACAATCAAGTCAAATAGGAACTTGAAAGCTCACATATGAGCCGTAAGTTGGTTACAGCAGAGTCAGCCCCATGCAGTTAGTAAAACCAGTCTGTTAATGTGTCTTCCACCACACACCAGGATTGAAAAAGAATGAGAAAGAGCACGGCAAACAAATTCAGTTACCCATGAACAATGTGGGAAATATGACTTTTTCTTGCCTAATAAAAAAAAAGGAAAAAACATTAAACAGCAATACAAATACTATTTTCACAACATGCCCTAAAATTAGTTTATGTCCACCTGCCTACACACAGCCCCCCCAAAATCTAAATGGTTTACAAAATTAGGGTGATACATAAGGAATTAATACAAGCTTGAGGGGAAAAAAAAGAATGTTTGGGAGAGAACTGAAGCGCCCACACTACACAAGGATGCGGGTTAATGCCAGGTGAGTGACATTAAGGGCTGTGAGTGGCGGGGAGAAAAACAGAACACCACCTGGGAGGGAGGCCCAGCCAGCCGCATTTTAGGAACTCACAGGCGTGACCACAGACTAGATAAAATCCTGGTTCCAAGAAGCCCTCACATAACCAGGACTCACAGATATTTTCAAATGCCATAAAGGTAATATGTAATAATAAGGTTTTTAATGCAGTAAGGCCTTATTCCACCTGCAGATCTGGAGGACGGTGGGAGGGTGGGGTGTGTATGTCTATTCCCACACACGCACATGCACACAAACCGCCTTTGGGTCACCTTGCCCCAAAGACGCCCCTCAGTCTCCAGGAGTGCGAGGAAAACTGGTGACATGCTACAGACACGCTCCTTGGGAGTGAGAGGTAGGGCAGGCGCATTCCAGAGCCACGGACTTTAAAATGAAGAGTTTTTCCTCATACTGAAACTAGAGCCCACACATAGTGTAAGAACTGGCATTACTTCTTTTAAACTGACAGATTTAATAATGGAGCTGGGAGTTAGAATGCTCCCCCTTCCTGTTGCAGCTGGCTGGTAAAAGCCGTCATGGTTTTTATCTAGTCAATAGGTCTGCAGGGACAAAGGCCAGAGGTAAAAAGCCAGGGAGGCCAGAAGGAAGGCAGAATCAAAGTAAAACAGCGAGGAAGTCAGAACACAACAAAACCTACAAAAAAGAGTTATCCTCAAGAATGTGGAAATTAGACAAATGCAGCTAAAGCAATAGGTTAACATTTGAGTGTGCATATATAATCCATTTATCATATAAACACCTGAGCAAAGACCAACCCACAAAAGCATATTTATTTAATAGAAACAATACAGCTAAAAATCTGTACTATTTAAACCAAAACTAAACATCATCTATAACTTTCCATCAGGAAGTACATTCCCAGGTGCAGTTTAAGCAGTAAAGCCTACAGCCACATCTTGGCTTCTCAGGGGATGGAGTGCTCCTTGACAGCACCAAGGCTCACACCTGGTTCCAGGAGTTACTCTGAACCCTACCGAGGGCTGGGCTCACCTCTGGCCAGTTGCTGCCCTGGTGCTCTGCATCAGGGGTCAAGCAGAAGCCAGTCTCTCATGAAGACAGGAGCAGTGAGGCTGACAATATTATGCCTCCTTCATCAAGACTATTCTAAGGATTTGCTACATGCAAAGCCATCTGCCCAACCAATCCATTTCTGGTCCATGCCTATTCTCACATCATAAGGTGCCCAAGGCAAGAATTTGGATTCCAGATAGCAACTAGTAACTACTCTATTGGACGTCATTCCAGGTTGCAGGAAAAAATAATTAGGCACTGTTTCTAACACTCAGGAAGACTACCCTAAACTTTCCCCATATTGTTGGAGGTAAATGGCAGTTTTAGTGCCAAATACCTGTTTATTCCTTTTACTATTATAGTATGAAAATGAGCATCCCTAAAACTCCTAAATCTGAGCAAAATTAAATTTATACTTACTCCCCCTTAGGGATCCCAATGATCAGAATAAAGTTCTGATTTATATATTGATGTTTTAAAATGTGCTCCTTAATGAAATGTGTATACTTCAAGGTTGAATTATCTAAAGGAAGAGAAGCCAAAACACCCCACTCCACAAGAACAGACACAGGAAGCTTTTTAGAGGGGACCAGGTACCAAATCAGGTCCTCCATAAATATGCCCCAGTTTTTGAGGAAAGCAGAACATACAAGCTCTTTTAAGAGACTGACAATTCCTAGAGTTGTGTCTGTATTGCTTTCACAGAACAAGAATGAGCAGCTTCTATGAATCTAAACAGAGACAGGGGCGAGGGGTCCCGGTGCCTCAGGCTCTGTTCTAGTAACAGCTGCCTTCCCTCCGTAGTGGTCAGCATGCCCAGGCCACAGGTCTAACTAGTTACCTAAGTTAAGGCACGCCCATAGAGGAGTATAACCACGCAATGTTTTGTTTTGTTTTTTAATTGAGATAGGACAGTATCTACTGACATAAAAAGATACTGGCAATATAAATTATTACAGGCATGTTGTGGAACAATATTTGAAGTATAATCCCATAAATTTCTAAAAGCATAAAGAAGATACATAAAAATATGATTTTACATGCTTAGAAATAACTATAAGGATACAGAAAAGAGCGAAAACAAAAAACACTTTTTACTTCATAAACGCCTGCTGAAACAAACTGAAATTTGTTTGTATTAAGAATATATCACTGCTTCAATGTTAGGACACTTTTTTAAATTCTCAATTCCTCAAAAACCATCTTTACATCATGCAAAAGTTGTTATCTCCTAAACAATATTTGATCCAGTGATCTTATATTTTTCTAAAATCTTCAGAAAGAAGGTCTGTTGCAGGCTTGCACATATACATAATTATAGTGTTTTCTTCTATCCTTAACAAACACAGGGAGGCAAAAGTAGGTTTACAGTTGTGCGTATGTGAAACATAAGTTATTCTTGAATTATTTATTATTGTATTATTTTCCATACAAACAACTATAAACCTACTTTTGCCCCACCCTGTATTTGCTAGGAACGTCTACTAAACACCTTGAGAACAAGGATTGTGTCAAAGGCATCTGCAAGCCCAGGAGCCCTGCACTGCAACCTTTCAAGAGTCTGCTTCCTAGGATGGAAGTTTCGGAGTCAGGATTACCAGGGCAACAGACTCCATGGGGACCAGAAGACAACAGATTTCATGTCCCCTGAGACTTGAACGATAACAGGCTTCGGGTAAACTTATCAAACTGTATTTACCTTTTCAAAGCTTGAACAAGCTCACTTACTAAATGTGTAACTCTACCACTCAAAAAAAGATTTAAAATTCCCAAGACTTACCCTTTGTCGAAGAATGACGTATGCCCTGATCTAGAGAACTTTGTGCCGTTGCTATTCATCACCCCACAGTTAACATTCCCTGACATATAGGATTTCCGTGATGCTTGGTCCTTTGCAAAATTCCTGCAAGCTGCTAATTTGGATTCTAAAGCCTACAGAGGGAAGAAAGAATAATTTGGTTGTCAAAACAGTAGCTGCATATAAAATACGCATTTCACACCATCTCTATTTCAAGACTCAAACATTACTCTCTCAGTTGATAATGGTGGCTACTTAAGCCAGAATCAATCACCTTTCTAGTAGGAAAAGGAAATGTGTATGCTGACTCCCTTTCTAATGAGCTCAGAATAGTTTACTTATTCTTATTCCTCTCTGTATTACTGAGGGGCACTTGATAACCCTCGCTCATATAAGAAAACTGTGGCATAAAACAGACAGAGACCGGACCCCAGGTCTCTTGACCCCATCCGTGGTGCCCTTCTAAGTCATGCACTGTTCGTCAGTTGGCTAGCTGGGGTGGGGGGGCAGGGTGAGTGTGGGTGCGTAAGGGGGCTATTTGGCAAGCAAACACTAAAAAGAATCCCAAAGTATCATTTGAGAATTATTAAAAGCAGCCAATTCTTCCTATAGCATTTCAGGTTAGTTATTTCTAATCCATTTGAATGGATAAGAACATTTACAATACCTCATGTAAAGTTAAGAGTTATTCTATTTCTTAGAACACAGTGTAGTGTCTGATACCCACTGTCTACAATTAAATAATTCACCTGAAAATGACACCAGGCCTGTAGCACTTACCTCTAAATTGGGTGCCCTTCTTAACACCTGTCACCACAACACCTGGCCAGTGCCAGGCTCTACAAACAGATGACATGAAGAAGACAGGAGTACCTCATCTATTTCCATCACACACAGACACCAGCAACTCCCCTTTCCCGTAAACAAACTCAAATCCCTCTCCCTGCCACAAAAAAAAAAAGGCAAAAAATAACCCATTTCTATTATCTGTGACACCAAGGGATTAGGAATAAGATTTAAATAAGCATTATTTCAGCAACTTGTTATATGATCACATACACAGTAAAAATTGAGAGCCATATATTCCCTATGCTCAAGACACTCTTTCACTCAAGTATGTGCTGAGCATCAATTATGTAGCTGGCACACACTGCACCTGAGACATCCAAGTACAAGTATTGGGTCTGGACCTCAAGAGAAAAAAGTGGTCTAGAAATCAAGATTTAAAAGATATCTGTACCAGGCCCTGGCTGGTGTAGCTCAGTGGATTGAGCGCAGGCCTGCCAATCAAAGAATCACCTATTTGATTCCCAGCAAGGTACATGCCTGACTTGCAGGCCATATCCCCAGTATGGGGTGTGCTAAAGGCAACCACACATTGATGTTTCACTCCCTCTCATTCTCCCTCCCTTCCTCATATCTCAAAAATAAATAAATAAAAGCTTTAAAAGATATCTGCACCAGGTAGCAGGCAAAATCATAGTTGCAAAGAAGATGAGGAAATCAAAGACAGAGTCTGAATAAAATGAAGGCAGATGAAGACCCAATGAGACGGCAGAGGAACGGGCAGGAAGCAGAGATGACACGGCATCAGAAGAGCAGAGGAAAGAAAGCACCCCCCACCTCACCCCCAAAATTGGTGTTGAGTATTTCAAACAAAATCAGGACAAAACAGCATCCATTGTGTTTTGTTAGCACCAAGATCATCAATGAGCAACTTGGGTGGGGAGAGCAGGGAGAGCAAACTAGGATGTCTGGGGAAGAGCACATACAGTCACTGATGCTCATAATAAATAGAGACATGCTTTCAAAAAGCTTGGCTGGCAAAGGAAGACAGGAAACAGGATAATGGCTAAAGAAAGATGGAGGGTAAAAGGGAAGAAGAGCTGCTTTTACTTTTGCATTCTAAGATAAAAAAGTACATAATATGTACTATAGAAATACCACACACAAATATTAACATACATGGAGTAAAAAGCTAAAGACCCAGGAGACAAGAAGATGAGAAGTCTAGAAGGAATGGGATCCAAAGCACAAAAGGACAAAATTAGCAATGGGGAGGAATGATATTTTTACCACTGAATAAAAAGGAAGAACAGCTACAGAGGAAATAAATAATAAGAGAATAAGAGAAAGAAAAAGAAGCAAACAAAACTTGAAATCAGATGACCTTGACTCCTCAGTGGAAGATGATGCAAAAGTAGGGAGGAGACTTCTAGGTAGCTCCAGTCAGTGGACAAAGGAGTGCAAAGACGTAAGAAAGCAAATAGTCATAAAAGTACGCAGAGCTGTAGGGAAGCAGACCAAAGTTTTGATGACATCTTAAGACAGGCTGTCAGGTGAATAGGTAGACCATGCAAGAACTCCAAGTTCAACTTTCATGCACCATTTCTGAATAGTTTCCTTATGGCACTAAAGCAAAATAAGTAAGAACAAAGAAAGAAGACAACTTGGGGTTCCAGAGTAGGCAGTACCAACCCGAGTACATAATGAAGAGAAATTCAAAGATGACAGTGGTACAGCAGCTCTAACAAGCGTAACACAGTTTTCGGCATAGAGAGTGAACAAGAAACTGGAAGGTATGAGATATTGCAAAGAGTTTATTTTTTTCTATCCACAAAAAACTGGAACACTAGGAAAAAAAGAAAAAGGCATACAAGTCAGCTCTGACACAATACAAAAAACCTGTCATGATTTTGAGTAAATGATAAAGAACAAAATGCTTGAACCATCTGCTGAACAGCACATATAAAATGACCCAAAAGGCCAGCTCCTCCTCTGTGATTAAGCAGGAATATATACATGGGCATATTATAGATGTTGCTGACTAATTTCCAGTCTTCAGAACCAATGAAGAGTTCAAGAAGGTACAGAGAGACACACAGTAAGGAACTGAGATATAATCTAACAAACTCAAAAACAGATGTTTTATATTTAAAATTACAAAAAAAAAACCCTAACAAGACAAAAAATAATTGGGAGGATGTGAGTTAAATTCATCTTTTTGCTTAAAACTCGTAAGTCAAAATACACAAAAATAAACACATTACTTCAAGTTATAGAAATAAATACTGTAACTCTTTCACTAAATGGGATAAAAACTACTCTATATACTCTGAGTGACTTGTGCACATTACTCTTTACAGCAACTTTAAAATGTAGTTTAGAGTTAATCTGATGATTAAAAATAATTCTATAAGCCAGAAAAGGTAAACAAGGGACCTGTATCCTGGCCTCTCATTTCTTCATAGAATGTATAATGCAACTTTTTTCAAAAAGTGTCTCACAAAAAAATAAGTGAAAAGGTACTGGATGGTGGGAAGTTGCAGGGGCAGATTATTGAAAAGAGAGCTTAAAGTCATGAGGGAAGTAAAAGGGGAAATGACTAATGCTAACTTTATAGTGTCTTAAATCCAAACAGTTATATTAACATTATTGTTTCCAGTGATCTGGATGAAGGAAAGAAGTCCAATTTTTTGACTGACCCAGATGGCAGGTCTCCTCCAAGGCCAAAAACACTGTGAGCAACAGTAACAAAGCAAGCAATCTGCGGGATCACAGATAAACAGGAACAAAGTAAGAGATCACTACGAAAAACAGAGTACTACTCTCGCAGTAAGGTCGAAGAGTATTATTATACAGAGTAAAAAACTGAATAAGCAAAAAAAAAAAGTTTAATGTTTCAAAAGCCAAACTGCTCTGGAATACAAGTTGGAGCCAAGGAGATGGCACTGAAGTTGAGGTGGCCAAGGAGCAGGCAGATGCCACAAAGAGCAGCAAGTCATGCCACAGGCTGTGCCAAAGGCCTACAGAGAAAAAGGTCAGGGATAACCAGGAGGATGGACGACAACAGCAAAGGACAGAATAAGAAGGAGGTATAAGACCTACAGCAGGAAGCAAAAAAAATGAAGGACTCGTGGCCTTATAAAAAGAGCCATGGGGGAACACAAAGAATGCCCAGGGGAAACTCAGGAGCTCAGCACGCTGGGCCTTCTGCAGAGATACGCCCTGAAGGAGATATCTGGCCCCGCCTCTGCTGGTCACTGGATGCTTTGGCTTCTCAGCTTAATCACAGCCTTTATGACAGAAAGGCATCCTTTTTTCTTCCCTCACTTCAAATTAAGTAATAATCCAATACCTTGGCAACTGAAACACCTAGTGATAAATAACTGAATGCTTACCCCTACTTTCCGTAAGAGATCCCCCACAATGTTTAGTGCTGATATCCTAGCTGAAGGAGTTAGTGGACTGGTACCAAAACCGTTTGGTATAGCTAGAGAGAGATAAAACACAGGTGATTATTATACATGCAATTTGGGTTTCGATGTTATTACAAAGCAGTATACACTCAATGTCAACACTCAATATTGTATTCTAAACTACAGATAAAGTATAATGTGGACATACCATGCTTAACTGTTCTCCAATTGATGGATGTTTAGATTATATACAAGTTTACATTGTTGTAATGCTTAAAGGACATATATCCTTAAAACATCCAGACAAGTATTTCTGAAGAAGAGATCCCTAAAAAATAGGACTGCAGGGTCAGAGGACACGATGCATCTGTTTTGCTTACCCTAACAGATACTGACCACCAGAACGCTCTCTACAAAGGTTATGTCAGTATCAGTATCAGCAATTTATATGGTGTTGTTGTCAATAATACTGGACTTTTTTTTTTGCAAAATTTGACAGTCATTTTGTTTAAATTTTTATTTCCTTAATAACTAGTAATTTGAATATCTTCTGGAAATCATCTGTTTTAACCTTTGCACTTGTTTCTACTGGGTTGTCATTCCTTTAATCAATTTGCGAGGGCACAATACATTACAGATATTCACCCTTTCTCTTACGTGTGTATGTATGTATGTTGTATTTCTCAGTGTGACATTTATCTTTAAACTTTGTGTTTTGGGAAGGAGGCCTTTGGCTCCTTCATCTCAACATTATAAAAAACGTTCCTCATATTTGTCTCCTAATGGCTTCCTATAATTTTTTTACACTTAGGTCATTTAACCCATCAAACATTTACATATTTTTCCTCCAAATGGAGCCAATTGTCTGAATACTACTTACTGAAAAAAACTTATCTGAAATGTCACTAAAACCATATACTGAGTTCCCTATGTATTTCAAGTTCCATTAAATTATTAGTCTACCTGAGCAGAGAGATGCTGCTTTAGTTATTAGTGTTAAAATAAATTTTGGCATGTTGAAGGGCAAAGCCTCTTCCCATTATTAACCTATTTTAAACTTTTCTTGGTTATTCTTACACATTTAATCTTCCAGACTAACTTCAAAATCAACTTGACAACTTAAAAAATCCTGTGGAGGTTTTTATTAAAAATTTAAATGATCAACTGATTTGGGGAGAATGGATACTGCAACAAAATTAAGTCTTCTTATTCAGAACCATGGCACTGAGCATGGCATGTTTCATGCTCTTTGTCCACACCCCTTGGCAAAGGTTTTCAACTGTGCACATTTATTCGACTTATTTTTGAGACAATATAGCATAATAGTTGAGAGCGAGTGAAACTGCTAGATACAAATCTATCACTGCCATTTAATAACTGCGTGACCTTTGAGTAAGTTACCCATACGTAAAAGAAGCTAATGATTAATTTACTTCATAAAGTTGTTGTGAAGTTTAAATTAGTTGACCTACTTTTTAAATGCCTAGCACAGTAAGTACTCAATAAATGTTGGCTATTCTTTCTTGACATTTTCTAGAGAAAGCTAGTAGGCACATAAAATGTTTTGTATGGCTGCTGCTGTTGTTTATTGTCCTTGTCTTCTAGAATGTAAACTCACTGAAAATAGGGACTTTGTCCTACTCACCGTTATACTCTCAGCATCTAGAATAACACACAGACCCTGGCTGGTGTGGCTCAGTGGATTGATCACTGGCCTGTGAACCAAAGGGTCACTGATTCAATTCCCAGTCAAGGCGCATGCCTGGGTTGCAGGCCAGGTCCCTAATTAGGGGCCCGTGAGAGGCAACCACACACTGATGTTTCTCTCCCTTGCTTTCTCTCTCCCATCCCCTCTGTCTAAAGATAAATACATAAATAAAATAAAATAAAATAAAATAAAATAAAAGAAAAGAAAAGAAAAGAAAAGAAAAGAAAAGAAAAGAAAAGAAAAGAAATGAAGACTGCACAACATACAGTAGCTGTACTTCCCTTGGCAGGGATTTCTGGATCTCAGTTCTCCCCATTCTCCTAAAATTTCATACTTTGGGTATTAAATCTGTGTTTTCTGGTGAACTGTATTAATACGATGCCATTAAAGACAGACCATCCACAGAGATCAGCTCTTCCACCTTGCCACGATTTCTCTGACCTGCTGCTCCGATGTCTGTGTCGGCCTCCTTGTCACAAAACTGCAGTTACCCAGCACACAGCAGCTTAGGTTAGTAAAAGTTTATGCTGTCAGTTCCAGTCCAAAACTGGGTCTATCTGGACAAATGTTACTGCCATAGGGTTCACCTATCTTAATTCTGTGCAGGACTAAGCTCCATGTCCTCCTGACACTCCCCACCCCAAGTTCTTGCATGGAAACTCTAATGAGCTATGACAGAATGTACACCTCCCTCTGGAGTCACCTTAATTTAAGCTCCTGACTACTCTGATTAGTGCCCAAATAAAGAATTTTCAGAAATAATCTGCAGAATTCTAATTAGTAACATAAAAGCAAAGCTTTGTTAATTCTCAACTATTAGTAATTCTGAGGGCCTCAAATACACAAGGACTGTTCCAAAAAAATGAACAGTGAAAGCTTCTGACGACTGCTATAATCCACACACTGCCTGCTTCCTATTGACTATTTGGCATTTTCACATACCTTATCCAATTTTATCTCACAACGAGGAGAAAACAGGATGAATTCTCTATTCAAGGGCTACTGAGCAAGTGAGATGTGACTAATGCAACCAAAAACTGATTTTTAAATTTTAATTCATAGTAAATTAGTAAATATTTCAATTCAAATAGTTGCAGGAAGCTAGTGGCTACCGCATGGTCAGACCGCCCGGACAGGAAACCTCTATCACCACAAAGGGAAAGTCCTATATTTAAAGAGCAGTAGGAAGATGCTTCCATTTGGGGAGAGAAAAAGTACAGGGAGTGGGAGTGGCTGAAGCATAATCCGCAAGCAGCCAAACTAAGTAAATCCGAACTGGGAGCTTCAGGATTCCATTCTAAGGGTCTATTCTAATGACTAAATGGTTTTCCTGCTTATTGAGATTAAAAAAATACATTGGCTGATGGCAAAAGAAATATTCTCTATGAACTACTCAACAGTAACTCTAAATGTCACGAAAATAGCAGCTATAGAGGCACGCATTAGAATGCACATGTCTATCTAAGCCAATCTTACTCGAGTCTGGTAACTCAAGTCTCTATGTATCCCGTGTATAAAGGCTTCTAGTCTCCCCATGATGTTAAGTGGCAAAAGCAAGAAATAAAACCATATTTAAATATAATCCCAAAATGTGTAACAAGGAGGAGGGCACAAACACAAATAAGCTCACACAACAGAAAAAACTCCAGTGTTAAGAGTAGTTACCTTTAAGCAGTAAGATTACAGGTGTTTTTTTCTCTTTTATTTTCTGTTTTCAAATTTTTCTACATGAATATATCTTACTGCTATGATTAAAAAATAAACTTTTCCTTAAAACCTCCAACTTCTCAAAATCCCAACTTATTAAGCTACTCATCTCTTAAATGCAGCATCATTCTCATTCCCTATATCTGAGTGGCCTAGGAAAATAATTCCTTCTCCAATACACAGTGCTAGATTTAACCACCTTTTAAACTGAAATTATTGCTTAAACCTTAGCAACTCCTACTTCATCAGCAAACCCTCTTAAGGTGATAATCTACCCTAGAGTCAAAAAGACAAGACATTACATACCTTTTGGTGAAGGAAAACTGTTCTCTGTTCCTTTGCCAACAGGAGTAGCTGGTAACGAAAGTGAGGCCTGGACAGCAGAATCCGTCTTTTCACAGTCTAGAGTTGGAGAACTGGGGGCCGATTTTCTGGTTACTTCCTGTTGCCTTTCCCGAACAGCTAATTCTTGTCTCAAATCTGTAAAATGTTACAAAGGAAGTAATACTCACTAGAGGAAGCAAATACATACAGCAAAGTCACATCTAATGCCATAAAGACATTCTCTCTAAATGATTATTTCTCAAGTATAAATTTTTATTTCTAGAGGAATAAACTGATAACCCTATTGTCTAAATCATCTTTTAGAATTAAAAAATGCTATAACCAAAAAATGCTATATAACCTAAGAGAACAGTTATCTATGCCCATATGCAAAAGGAAACAGAGCGGAGTCTAAAGTGAACGTGTATGACACAAAAATGAATTCTCTTTAACAACTCACTTGTTCTTACTTTGAAATGACGTAGTATGGGGATCATTATAGAAATCAATAAAGTGCATTTTTATAATTTTAAATGGGTTGGTACTTTTTATTAATTGTCACCATGAAATATTTTGTTTTAGAAAAGAAGTCAGAATAGTTGCAATTTTTTTCTTGCTTTCAAGGTTGAATTTTCAACCCAAAATTAATGTCTTCTTTTCAGTTATGCAACTGACCTACAGAATACTTGCTTATGTTTTTTTAAAAAAGGATACAAAGTTATCCCATTTTGGGGTACACATCCAAAAGAATTCAAAACAAGATCTCCATCCCTGGCTGATATGGCTCAGTAGACTAAGCACTGGCCTGCAAACCAAAGGGTCTCTGGTTCAATTCCCAGTCAGAGCATGTGAGAGGCAACTACACATTGATGTTTCTCTCCCTCGCTCTCTCTCCCTTCCCCTCTCTCTCAAAATAAGTAGATAAGCATTATTTAAGAAAACAAGCTCTTCAAGAGATATTTGCACATCCATGTTCAATGCAGCATTATTCACAATAGCCAACAGGTGGAAGCAACCCAAGTGTCCACCCACAGATAAATAGATCAAAAAATGTGCTGTACACACGTGCGCACACACACACACAGGGGAATATTATTCAGCCTTAAAGCAAAAGGAAATTCTGACACATGCCACAATGCGATGAACCTTGATGAGCCTTTAGGATATTATGCTAAGTAAAATAAGCCAGTCACAAAAAAACAAGCACTTCAAAAGTTTGACTTCACTTATATAAGTTATTTAAAACACAGCAATGAAAAGCAAAATTGTAGTTGCCAGAGGTTGGAGAAAAAGGAAAAATGGGGAGTTGTTCCTCAATGGGCACAGTTTCAATTTTGCAACAAAAAAGATTCTAGAAAGCTGTTACATAAAAATGTGATGTAGTGAACACTGCTGAATTGTATACTTAAAAATGGTTAAGATGGTAAATTTTATGTTATGTGTTTTTTAGCACAACTGTAAATAAATAAAATACAGTTAATATTTTAAACATAAATTTAAAAAAGAGATACCACTTTCAGCTTTCAAATGAATTTTTAAATAATTCTTAAAACTATTTTTATTATTCACAACGCTAATTACCAGTGTGAGAAGGACACTCTCAGTCACTGCCACAGGGAGTATAAACATACACACTTACCTAAAAAGCAATTTAGCAGTGCCTTTTTATATCATTTGCCACTTCTAAGAATTTACTCTAAAGAAATGATCAGGACTTGGCCAAGATGGAGGTGTAGGTGGAAACACTATGCCTCCTTGCACAACCAAAATTAAGGACAACAAAGATTTAGAAACAAAAACACAAGCAAAACAGAAAATTGAACCGTACAGAAGCCTGACAACCATTCATCCAGACCCGTAAGAGCGGTTGAGTCTGCAGCCAGTGGAGAGGGTTCACAGCAGAAAAAAGTGGTGGCTGGCAAACCCAGGTGTGCAGGCGGCACCGGGCTAGCAGACCCTGGGCGTGGGGAGGTAACAAGCAGATCCAGTAAGGCGCGCAAGGCAGCTGACTGACCATGGAGACACATTTGCATGCAGATAAACCAGGCAAAAAACAGGCAGCAAGACAGACCATGCAACCCAAGGCCCCACTGATGGGAAATAAAGCCTAAAAGCACCAAATGAAAACACTTGTGGGGGTTGAGGTGCTGGGAGAGACTCCCAGCCTCATAGGAACATTTGTTGGAGAGACCCACAGGGTCCTAGAACGTACACAAGCCTACCCATTCAGGAACCAGCACCAGAAGGGCACAATTTGCTTCTGGGAGATGGCAGAAGAGACTGAAATCCAAGACAGAATGGAGCAAGCGCCATTGTTCCCTCTCTGACCCCACCCCCACATACAGCATCACACCCCGGCAACTGGGTTGCCCTGCCCTGGTGAACACCTAAGGCTCCACCCCTCATACATAACAGGAACAACCAGACCAAAAAATTATGGCACAAACAGAAGAACAAATCAAAGCCCCAGAGCCAATACTTTTAAGCAATCAAGAGATAGCCAACCTATCAGATGCACAGTTCAAAACACTGGTGATCAGGATGCTCACAGAACTGGTTGATTTTGGTTGCTAAGTGAAATGAAGGAACATGCACAGGGAACCAATAGTGATGGAAAGGAAACTGGGACTAAAATCAATGGAGTGCACCAGAAGGAAGAAAGAAACAACCAAACAGAAAAAATGAAGAAACAAGAATTCAAAAAAATGAGGAGAGGCTTAGGAACCTCCAGGACATCTTTAAATGTTCCAACATCCAAATTACAGGGGTACCAGAAGGGGAAGAGGAAGAGCAACAAGTGGAAAACTTATTTGAACAAATAATGAAGGAGAACTTCCCCAACCTGGCAAAGGAAACAGACTTCCAGGAAGTCCAGGATGCTCAGAAAGTCCCATAAAAGGTGGACCCAAGAAGGAACACACCAAGGTCCATCATAATTACATTAGCCAAGATGAAAATGAAGGAGAGAATTCCAGAAGCAGCAAGAGATAAGGGGACAGTCACCTACAAAGGAGTTCCCATCAGACTGTCAGCTGATTTCTCAAAAGAGACCTTACAGGCAAGAAGGGACTGGAAAGAAGAATTCCAAGTCATGAAAGGCAAGGACCTACATCCAAGATTGCTCTATCCAGCAAAGCTTTTATTTAGAATGGAAGAGCAGATAAAGCAGATCTCAGATAAGGTCAAGTTCAAGGAGTTCATCATCACCAAGCCCTTATTATATGAAATGTTAAAGGGACTTATCTAAGAAAAAGAAGATAAAAAAAGATGAACAGTGAAAGGACAGCAAACTCACAGTTATCAACAACCACACCTAAAACAAAAGCAAACTAAGCGGATACCTAAAATGGAAGCAGAGCTACAAAAGTGGAGATCACATAAAGGATTAGCAACAGATGAGTGGGAGGAGGAGGGGGGGAGAAGGTACAGAGAATAAGTAGCATAGATGGTAGGTAGAAAATAGACAGGGGGGAGGGCAAGAATAGTATGGGAAATGTAGAAGCTAAAGAACTTATGACACACGGACATGAACTAAAGGGGGGAATGTGGGTGAGAGAGGGTGTGCAGGTTGGAGGGGAATGAAGCGAGGAAACTGGGACAACTGTAATGGCATAATCAATAAAATATATTATAAAAAAAGAAATTATAAAAAATACTCTTAATTATTAAGTACAAGAATCCTATTCATGGTAGTACTTATAGCAAAAAATTAACTACCAATTATAAAGATCCCATTAAATATATATAGTAAATATCATGCAACATTTTTAAAAACTTGTTTTAAAGGGTCTTTTTGCTATGGCTGGTGTGGCTCAGTAGATTCAGTACCATTCTGCAAACCAAAGGGTCACTGGTTTGATTCCGAGTCAGGACACATGCCTGGGTTGCAGGCCAGGTCCCCAGCAGGGGCATGTAAGAGGCAACCACACATCAATGTTTCTCCTTCTGCCTCCCTTCCCCCCTCTAAATAAATAAATTAAATATTTAAAAAGAAAAGATGGAATATTTCTCAAAAAAAAAAAGATTTTTTAAAGGCATGGATTATATTCACTTTATTAAGTAGTTTAAAAAAAAAAAAGACAGAAAATACATATGCATATATAGTGTGGTCCTGACTATGCACATGGAAAAAAACACCAATCTGTTAGTGGGTTCTCCCAAGATAAATGGATTGGCACTGGTTTTTAGTTTCTTCTAATATTTTGAATGATACCATGCATTTTTGAAAAAAAGGGAGGGAAGGAGAATTTCAAAGCAAAGTACACATTCATTATATATAATATGTAAATGGCAACATGTGTACATGTTATTATGTATATAACAAAATTCTTTAGGTAGAAGCAAAAAGGGGGGAAAACCTCAAACTAAGCAAGCAGTATGTGCACAACAGTAGCGGTCTGGGCTTTGGAAAACAGACCAGGGTTTGAATCCCAGCTGACAGGCTACAGACTTTGGACAAAACGAAAACTTTCTGTGCCTCAGTTTTATGCCTATAAAAATAGGGATGATAATACCTACCTCCTAGAGATGATGATGCAGGTATTAAGTACTTAGCATAGTGTTTCACAAAATATATAGACACAGAGCTTTAACAAGTTGATCCTGAAGCTGGCTTAGAGCTCTGGCTGAGAAACAGTAAGGTATAGTTTAGGTTATAAAGTTTACCTCTTGCTTCATCCTTTAACCTCTGTACAGAGACCAACAAAGATTCCTTCTCATCAAGTTCACTTTCTAAAAATGCATTTCGTTCAATGGCCTGATTTAGCCTTTGTTCGAAGTCTTCCAGCGAAACTATTGTTGCCCTAAAAAGAAAAATTAGAATCCATGAATTAATATTGTGCAAACAGGTAACAGAAAAGGAAGCTGTCAGTTTATCTCATATCATTTCCTGACCTAGGAAGGAAGGCTGCCCTAGAAAGGCTGGCCAGTTGAAAGAGGATGACCTCGCTCCCTCTGCCCTCTGGGGGCATTCAGTGTCTCTATCATTTAGGGCCATTAAATATATTCATTTCTCCTAAAGTCCCATCTAAATCCCTTAAAGTTCCTTAAAGGTAAGCCACTGACTGTACTATTTATATCTCCCCACTAGATTTTAAACAAGAAATTTTTAATCAGGATAATTTTTCAATAGTTTTTTAGAGTAGGTAAAAATAAACTAAGGACGTGTTTAAAACACAAAGTACTAGGTCCCACTCCATTTACTTTCTGCCTACCAACCCTTTTCTTCTTCCTGTACTTCTCATCTTACTCCTTTATCCAACAAATATTAATGTGTACCTACTATATGCCCACTGCCTGCTACAGGTATACTATAAAGTTCCGTAACCTCAAGTCAGCTCTCATAATGCCACGCTGAAGTTTATCAAGTCCTGTCAACTGTCAAAACCTCTCTCAATTCCTTGTGCTGCCCCCTTCAACCTTCTGCCCCGGCTTAAGTCTCCACCCATCACCCTGATTACTCCTAAATGTTCGTTACATCTCTTCCTCTCCTTTCCAATTCCTCAGTATTATCTACTCAAATCACAATCACTCTTTTGTTTAAAAAATCCTTAAAGACACCCTCATTGCCTAAAGAATGATATCAAACATCACAAACAAGGTTCTTCACAACCCTGCCTCAACCAATGTCCAGTCACATCTTGTTTGGCCACGTCTCTGTACATTTCAATCAAAATGAAACATTAATACCTCACACACTTTCCTGCCACTCTGCCTTCACATCTCCCTCTTCACCTGGGTAATGTCTATTTCTCCTTCTAGGCTCTGCTTCTCCAGTCCCCCCCAAGCTACTTTAGCTGCTCCTTGCTCTATGCCCCGGAGCAACCTGTACACTCTTTTTACTAGAGTGGTCACCACATAGAATGCCCATACCTGTTGCACCCAAGGGCAATGACTAGTTTACCAACTCTAACAGCATGTTAGTCATTTAAAAGTCACTCAAATATTATGGAAAGAACTACCAGACAGTAAAGTAATAGGGATGAAGTGAGAGGAATTAATTTGGAATAGTTGAGAAATAACTAACTTACAGATATATGAAAGCTTGGCAACAGTAATGGCAACCCACTAATAGTTATTCAGCAAAATCGTAATAAAAGTATTATTTTGAGAAGATTCATCAGTCAGTATTAAAACAGAAGAGAATAAAAATAAGTAAAAATTTAAAGACGGATTGGCTAGGAAATAACTGCAGAAATCAGGTGTCACATGGGAGGGTCCTACAAAAAAGTGTGGTAGTACGAAGAACAGAGAGGGAAAGATGGAGGAATGAAAGAGACATGTTTTAATGAAAAGCCAGCAGGAACAACAATGGTACATGAAAGAAGGAAAAAGAAAACTGGGGAAAAAAAGCTTAGAAGGGCATTCTTGGGGAGATAAAGGTTTCTGGTAAGTTTCAACGAAATTGAGTACCAACAGGAAGTGTTGTGGGACTAAGACTAGGTAATATAATAGGTTGAATCTAAAGACAAGTATTTTATTCACTGATTGCCAACTCTGGTTACACTAACAAAATGCCCATCATTCACCTTTTTGCTCGCTCGAGGTCATCATTGGCCTGCTCCAGCTCTCTCACATACTTATGCAACTGCTCCTTAATGGCTCGAGTCTGACTTAAATCATCTTCTAACACTGAGACTTGCTTGTAGCTTTGTGCGTACTGATGTTCTAGTTTCTCCTAAAGGCATGAGTATACAAAAAGGTATGCGCCATTAATATACAGTTTTCTTTAATAAAGGATGCTACCCAAGTTAAAGGGGAGGAAAAATCCAAAAAGTTCACCCACAATCCAAGTTGATGATACTGTAGGAGGGTACAGTCAGGGGGCCCCCAAAAGAAGAATTTGCAATGGGGTCCAGAACTCAGGGTGTTCTGGAAATATTAAAAATATGGGATGTCCTCACCCCCACAAGTCTGAGTTAGGGGAATGGGATACATGGAGCAGGGCCACTGAGTTTTTTGCATAGCAACAGTTTCACAGATAACCTCTAGAATGATCATTTAACATATCTACAACCTTTAACTAGTTTCATAGATATGTTAAATAGCTGTGGCCATGCTTTGAGCCAGGGAGAAGGGAGTGACTTCCACTCAAGATGTAACTGGGAGGCAACTCCCCAGCCCTTGTTAGGACACCTGTGTGAGAGCTTGGAGATGACTGGCTCTACACCATGGGGCCACACCTGCCCAGACTCACTATGGCAAGCCCAGTAAAGCTGGGAGGATATGGGAGTCCTGGGGAGTGTAGCTGATTGTGGGAGGAGTCGGAAATGGGACTGCAGAGGAAGATTGGCCTGGGGATTTAAACGCGGATGCAGCAGCCACTGGAGGGAGAACCATGTGTTTTTGGCCAGAATGGGGACTCTCGTAGCCATGTGACCGAATCACCAGGTAGCTTTAGCAGAGAGAACCAAGCGGCTTTGGCCAGAGTGGGGGACCCCCGGGGACACCCCCCACTCCTGCAACCATGAGAAGAATCATCATGCAACTTTAGCAAAGAACCACCACGCAGCTTTGGCAGACAATCACCACATGGCTTTCTATTTCTTTTCCTGAGATACGATACCTTGGACTGGGCAAAGGGTAAAAGAAAGACTGTGTTTGTGGGTGTTTTAAGGGACTTTGGGATTTTGATGAAGACATTAAGTCATTACTCTTAAGTCTGTATAACTTGAATAAATAATCCCTTTCCTTTTCACCAATCTCTAACATGGACAGCTATAATTCTCTGGCGAAGGAAAAGGCAAACCTAGTACAGGGGGACCCCAGGAGAAGGGGGGGTCAAGTAGGTAACATTGTGGGACCCCCTTCCCTGGTGGCCAGTCTGGGAAAACCATGGGAGACCACATGTGCAGTAGCTTTACAACTACTTGTCACAGTAAAAGCCTGCCAAAACTAGCCAGGAAGGATCCGCCCTATAAGAATAGAGTCCCTCCAGCCCACGAGGTCAAGCTCTGCTTGGAGCTGGCCTGTTCCCAGGTTCTCTGCTATAAACTCTGGGTGTTTGGTTCAAATCTTTGTCCCGATCACCAAGAGCCTGGTTACCTGTGCCCACCTGAGACAGTACCTCTTCTTTTTACAATATTTATAAATAATTACACATTCATTCCAACTCCTTAACTCACATAAAATTTAAATAGTCAACCATTCCCCTTTCCGAATCTAATAATAACTTCTCGGAAAAGAAATAAAATAATAAAACCACTGCCTCAAAAACCCCCGAACATGGTAGGGGAACTTCGGAGTTCTCAGGCTGCATGCAACTCAGGGTGAGCACAAAGAAGAAAACTGATAGAGGTTAAATTCCCTGCCCCTTACCTACCTACTCCCTACCCTTCAGCACCCCCCACACCCCACCCCCTCCTTCCACAAAACCACCTACTCCCCAAACACTGAAAATCTCCACACCTTTGGCTAAGGCAGGTGGTTAAGAACAGCGAAAGGGGCTAATCGTTTTACTTCTGAAAATTCCTTTTTAGAAGGCAATCTTTAAATCCAAACTAAACTCTAAAACTAAAAGGACTATGAACAATAATGAAATAAATGTGTATACTCCATACAGACATAATTTTAAAGTGCCACAAAATAAAGCAATATGTCAGAACAAATAATCAGTCAGCTTCTGAAAATTACAGGAACTACAAAATTAAGCCTCTTTTTATGTTTTTGGTACCCTGCTGCTCTTAAGCTCCCCTTAAACAAACATATTTCTCATTTTTTAAAAATCCTCACCCAAGGATGTGTTCACTGATTTCAGAGAGAGAGGAAGGGCAGGGGGGAGAGAGGTGGGGGGAGAAAGGGGGGAGGGGAGAGAGAAAGGGAGAAGGGGGGAGAGGGGAGGGGAGAGAGGGAAACTGATGTGAGAAACATCAGTGGGTTGTCTCCCATACATGTCCCAACCGGGGAGTAACCCACAACCCTGATCTGTGCCCTAGACGGCAGGGATGGACCCTGCAACCTGTTGGCACACAGGACAATGCTCCAACCAAGCCACCCAGCCAGGGCTACCTCTCTCATTTTAATAAAACCCGTACATTAGACACCAGAGCTTCTACAACCACAATTACCTTTAACGCTTCCACTTCATATTTCAGTCTTTGGTTATCAGCTTGCAAGTCTCTATTTCTTTGTTCAGCCTGTACTAATTGTGCCTCCAACTCTGCTTCTAATTCTCTGCTTCCTTCCTGAAATTCAACTAGCTCATCCCGAGCTTCCTGAAAGCTAATCAAAAACAAAGTGAGAAAGATGAGTTGTAGTAGGCTATAAGAATCATGTTGAAGAGGATCATATATAAATTCAAGAATTTTTGCCTAAATGCTTTGCTATAATATACTAAATAATAAAGACAATGTTTTACAACTCTTACCCTATATTCAAGACTCAATGAAAATTATTTATATATAGGCCCTAAAAGGATTTATATTTTATACACTCACTATCTCCTTATTTAATATATTACTAAAGAAGGCAATTACTATACCACAAATAAGTTTGATAATTAAATAAGTTCTTCAATATAGTTGGTTTCCTTTGTAATTCTGTTATTTGATTTTATGCATTTAAAGACATTATTCTTTTACTTTATGAGGGGAAGGGAGGGAGAAAGAGGGAGAGAAACAAATCGATCAGGCTGACGGATTGCCTCTCACAGGCCCTCAACTGCGGACCTGGCCTACCACCCAGGCATGTGTCCTCACTAGGAATCAAACCTGCAACCTTTCAGTTCACAGACCAGCACTCAGTCCACTGAGCGACACCAGTCAGGGCGAGACATTATTCTGAGAAGGGGTCTAGGCCTCCCCAGACTATCAAGTGTCTAGGGCACAAAAAAAACGATAAAGCACTCCTGCCATCGACACCTTTTATATCCACTGGCACAATATAACTGGCTTCAGCAATAACAATGGAATAACAGTAAAAGGTTTGATAAGGCTTAGAAAATTCCTTTAACCAAAGTAGAAAAAACAATATTTTTTTTAAGAAAAATCCCATTTTATAATGAAATTTAAGACCAGCTTTGGTTCTTAAAAAGTTATGTAAAAGTTATCCCAACTAATTAAAATATTTGAGATTTTTAAAAAATTCCCTATATGTCTGAAGCTCTTGAAAACTTTTCTGGCTTCAGCCACTGATAATGCTGGCCTACAGAGAGCTCAAGTCTGCTGTGTGAAGCCCCAGACAGCCTAGCAGAATCTCCAAAAGATCAAAACGATGAGGCAGACACAGTACACACGCAGCAGACCAAAGATGGTCAACGAAAGTAATAAACATAAAGGAGGTAAACTACCAGAAAAAAAATCACGAATGACACTAAGTTTTTTTTTACTATTTTAATAATATGAGTAATACAGGATTTATGGCATTTTTGTACTATTTAAATACAAGCAATGTTATGACTTTTTCTAGAATCCCACTCCCAAACCTGAAACTCTAATTTTAGCTTTATGTTTTATTTTTAAGATGCACATGCTAGAGACAGTATATTCCAAATTCCCTCCTCTATTTTTTTTTAATGTTTTTCAACATTACCTTTGCTTATACTTTATGGACAGTTCCTTCCAATAAGCAGTTTCCTCCTTTAAACTTGAAAAATTTGGTATATCTTCACCATCCATGATCAAGAAAGCCTGTGAAATATTAAAAACAAACTTACAAATTAATAGAGAACATGGGAACCTAAGTAAAAGTACAAAACCTGGGATAACACCAAATCTGCAGCATTTTGGAGTTAAATAAACATGAAAAATACTAGGAGTGGTTAAACTTTTTTAAGGGCAATTAACTCTTTATTGTAACCCAGGCATGAAAATCACTTCACTCCCCACTCTTGGGGACCACCAACTGAGGATCAGCTTATGACAGGTGAGGAGACCAACAAAGCTCTTTGGTGCAGAGCCTTTTCTGCCACAGCCCTGGGTTCCAGTGAACTGGCCCTACAGAATCAGCCTGCACACAGGACTCCAGCAGTGGAGCTTAAAGCCAACTGCTCTTCTGAGAATCAAGTGACAGAAACAATCTTATTGCCAGAGTGGTTGCTAATGCATGCCGTTCTCTGTTGTGTAATTGCTTCAAAACACCTGTGTGAAACATTTTATGTGAGGTGATCATACTAGGAGAGTGGATACCACATTCCCAATAATTCACTATTATTACATTTCTAAAACCTTCCTGTTAATTATCTTTTGAGCCCAAAGCTTCCTCCATTAAATCCACTAATCCTTCAACTTAAATTTCTTTCATCCTGGTTCTTCTCCCACAGAATTCAGAGAGGGGAGGGAAAAAACCTACCTAATTACCTTTGCATTTGGACAGACTACCTAAAACTACCAAATGATTGCCAAGGACAAATGGAATACCAAAGACAATGAGCTCCCCCTAACTTTAAGAAACAAAATTATGTTGGAGTTTTACCTCCTATAACCACCTCCCCCAAAGCATTCCACTTTATATTCCAGCAATAATGTTCAAAATTATCTTAACATACCACTTATTCCACTTCTGAATGTCTTCTCTATCAGGGGTGTCCAACCCACAGCCCGTGGGCTACATGCGGCCCAGGATGGCTATGAATGCGGCCCAGCGCAAAACTGTAAATTTACTTAAAACTTTTTTTCAGCTCACCAGTTTTCATTAGTGTTTGTGTATTTAATGTGTGGCCTAAGATAACTCTTCTCCTTCCAGTATGGCCCAGAGATGTCAAAAGGTTGGACACCCCTGCCAATGGCTCTCCCTTCCTTGTATATTTGGAAAGCTCTTTTTATACTTTTAAAACCTAGCTGTCATCTCTTCCAGAAAGCCTTTCCCACCCTACCCTCACCAGGATGGCGCTAAAATCTCCCACACTCCTGCCTATCTTTACAGTCACACATGCTTTTGTGAATATATTTTCCACACAGTTTACACTTGTATGCCCCTTCTTAGGCTGTGTATTACTTACTTCTACCCCAGCATACTGCCTGCACAGTAACAGATACTCAATATGCCTACTAAATTAAATCAGAATTGATTCAACCTAACCCATACCAGGCAGCAAGAATTCAAGACCAGGTTTAAAAGTACATTAACAAAAACTTGAAGTGTAGAATGCCACTTGTGAAGGTTGAGTAACAAGCCGCAGACAAGAACAAACACGGAACTTCAATTTCAGGGTAGGTACACACCAAAGAAGTACAAAAGTGGTTTCCAGTTGAATAAAATTAAAATGTAGTTATATACTCTTAGTGTCATTCCTTTGGGGCCTACTGCAATGTTTTCGGTTTTAGCCAAGTCTCTCCTAACCACATCATCTATTATTACTTTTGACATCTGTTAGTCAATCTTCCAACTACTTTAAAATACCAATCAGCCTAAGAGTTCTTTGAAAAAAATGGATCCTTTCCATACCTTGTGTCTCTTCGTGCCCCCTACCTAGCATAACACCTTGCTTCCGGAAAGTACAGAATGCTTGCAAATGTTTACTGAGCACTTACTATGTATCAAACATTGTTAAGTACTGAATAAACATTTAGTGCACTAAATGCACCCTCCTCTAATCTAATTATCCCTTCACTGGCACACTTTTCTCAGTATTATTTTACTCTTGCAGATACCCTTAAAGTATGATAACACATTAAAATATAAACCCACACAGAGCTGAAGTGCTGTTGAGACTGGGTTCTAGGGCTCCAGTTCTACCCTTAAATTCTCAAACTACTTAGCTCTCAAAGTCTCAGTTTTTTTTTCATCTAATGAGAGTTTAGACTAGACTTATGTTTCTTCAAATGTTTCTGACAGCATCAAAATACAAAATTTTGTACAGAAAGAAAACCATCAACAAAATGAAAAGACAACCCACAGAGTAGAACATATTTACTGACACATCTGATAGGGGATTAATATTCAAATTTTATGAAGAACTAAGAAAACTCAACACCAAAAAAACCAAACAACTCATTCAAAAAATGGGCAAAGAACCTTGAATAGACACTTCTCTAAAGAGGACACACTGATGGCCAACAGACATGAAAAGATGCTCAACATCACTAATCATCAGAGAAATGCAAATTAAAACCACAATGTAATATCGCCTCATACCAGTCAGAAGGCTATCATCAATAAATCAACAAACAACAAGTACCGACAAGGATGTGGGGAACAGGGAACCCATTTTGCACTGTTGGTGGGAATGCAGGCTGGTATAGCCACTGTGGAAAGCAGTAAGGAGACACCTCAAAAAATTAAAAATGAAACTGCCTTTTAATTCCACAATTCCACTTCTGGAAATCTAACCAAAGAAACCTGAAACATTAATTCAAGAGAAAATAAGCACCCCTGTGTTCACTGCAGTATTATTCACAATCACTGAACTGAGATATGGAAGCAGCCCAAGTGTCCATCAGTAGATGAGCGGATAAAACAACTATGGGACATTTACACAATGGACTACCACTCAGCCATAAAAATGAAGATAATTTTACCCTTTGTGACAGTAGGGATGGACCTGGAGAACATTTTGCTAAATGAAATAAGCCAGTCAGAGAAAGACAAATACCATATGACTTCACTCATATGTGGAATCTACTGAACAAACCAAACTAAGAAGCAAAATAAAGACAGACTCAGAGAGAGCAGGCTGACAGCTCTGGGGTGGGAGGTGGGTTGAGGGGGTAGAGGAAAAAACTATATGTTTCTGACTAGTAAATAACACTAATTTTCTAATACTATTCCTTTATCAAGATTCCCAATTCCCACTCTATTTTCCCAGATGTAGGAATAATCTTTTTAAAAAAAAAAGATTTTATTTATTTTTATTTTAGAAGAGAAGGGAAAGGAGGGAAAAAGAGAAGGAGATAAATATTAATTAGTTGCCTCTCACACTCTTCCAACCAGGGACCTGGCACACAACCCAGACATGTGCCCTGACTGGGAATCCGACCAGCAACCTTTCACTTTGTGGAACGTCACCCCACCCACTCAGCCACGCTGGTCAGGGTGGAACTGTATTTGTAACTGTAATAATCTATAGTAAGGTATGAATGAAAATGAGACTAATCCAGCAGCAAGATGTATTTGTATTTCAAAACAAAATCCAAAGCACTTAACGGCATCACCATATGATACCAATGACTCCTGAGATTTATTGCCTAAGTATCCTTAAGGAGAGGGACATATTTCATATTAACAGCCAGTTGAAGACACAATTACAGAATATGAGAAGTTATCTAGGGGTGAGGCAACAACCACTGAGTCACCTGAATGCTCTACAGAAGGTCTTTCACCAAAATGCCCCCAAAATATTGATTACATTTAAAACCTATGAATCCAGCCCCAAAGAAACTATAGGCACTGAGGTCCTCAAATTTGGACAGATCCACCTGCCATTCAAACACTGCCAACCATGTATCAATGTGCAGCTCAAATATTCAGTTTCTGATGCACAATTCAATAAAGTATGGTTTTGCAAAATGTTATGAAGATCAAAATGACAAAAGAAGCAAAGTTCATCTTAAACAAAAAACATATTTTAAAAAGTGAAGATTAAGTCTCTCTGTTACCACCACAGACTATCCAGTTGGAGCACCAGGGAGTCTGCCCCACTGGCCAAGATGGTGCAGGGGGAGGTTACGCTAAGCATGCCAAAAGCTAGAAAGATGAATGGATAGAGCCCCAAGCATGCCAAATGCTAGCAAGATAATTGGATAGGAGAAAAACCCTCCCTATCCCTGTAAGAACTGACAGCTTAAGCAAAAAGGGGAGATGGTCACCCACGCCAGTATGGCTTGGCTGGTGTGGCTCAGTTAGTTGGAGCTTCGCCCCATACATAGAAAGGTTGCGGGTTCCATCCCAGTCAGAACACATACCGGACACACTGCTGCTTCTCTGTCTGTCTCCTTTTCTCTTTCTGTCTCTCTCTGACTCTCCCCCTCTATCTCTAAAAGCAAACAAAAAATGTCCTCAGGTGAGGATTTAAAAAAAGAAGAAGGGGAGATGGTCTTTGAGATAAGGGTCTACCATTCTCCCAAGTCCCACAGCACCTGAATAAAACCTCCTTCCTTCTGCACCAGCACCTGCCTCACAAGTTTGGTTTTTGTTGTGGCAGGCAACCAGACCACCATTTGTTCAGTTACATCTCCAGCTAGTTCACTGAGGGCAAAACCTGTGTCTTATTTATAAGCACCTCTGCATCGCCAGAAACATGGAACACACCAGATATCCAACAAATGTTTCAACTGATTTATAATCTTTCATTATTCCCTCTTTACTTTCAAAGTACCACTTTACTAACATCTAAATTCCTATTTCAGGATGAAGTAAGCAAAAAGATTTGTGGCTAATTTATTTCTACCTCATACTGTACCAATATGTATTAAGTCAGAATTATAAAACCTATCATTCTCGGCTAGACAAAATTATTAGTCTGATGCATGCCAAGCCACATTCACAGTCACTTATAAAGCTCAGTGTATTCTTCTCCACATCAAAGGATACGGAGCTGATGGAACTTGCTGGAGAGCACCTTGGAGATAGCACTGCACACTTGCTACCTAAAATAATCATTGCCCAGAGCTTCGGTCTTAAATAGGAATGGACAACCAAGAACCATCAGACGAGTGAGAAAACCCAGTAGCATGATTAAGAAAATCCTAAG